TGCCGCTTGTCAGTTTTATGCTTTAAAGTTCACGTTGCCAAAACGTGACCCGCTCGAAAGGAACACGAGAAAAAAAAAGGTGGAAATAGAACGAAGGAAATAAAATGGAGGAAATAAACAAACAGAAAGTATTATAATATTATTAACGTTATCTGGAATATTCTCAAAGAACGTTAAGTACCTTCAAAATATCATAAACTTTCTGTTTACGACCATAAAAGTGGGTAATATAATTAAAAAGTGTAGTATCAAAGAAGAAAAAAAGACGGATAAAAAAATTAGAGGAAAAGATAAAGGAAAGGAAGAAAAAGTGTAGTATCAAAATAACGATAAAGAAAAATGAAAAGTGAAAAGTGAACCTTATATACTTGCAAACATGTGAAATAAACACGCGCATTGTTTATTTTTCACAGTGCGCGCATGTGCAGATCCTAATCAAATTGGATCCGCATAGGTGCGGGTACGTGAAAAATAAACACTGTATACGCGTATTGTCATAAAAATCAGGAGATCGTTTAAACAAGTTTAAAACTTGTAGATTGGCTAACCAATCAAGTAGATGACATCATTAAGTCCAAACGGTAGCAGGTAGTATATATTACGTTAACGATCAGTGTCGAACGTATACAGTATGCCAATAAACTAAGTACCGGACTAATAATATTTCGTTCATTAATTCTTTAATTATCATGCTAAGTTAGGCTTATGGATCAATTATTCAGTTATTAGCAATGATATAATTTGGGTGGCTCATCCGATGAGATATAATAAATATGGGAGTTTTTAAAAAATATTACATATAAGGGCCCAAAATAACCGTGACGCTATTCACGCCTGTGGCTTGATCTTTATTATAACATAAAAAATGTAACGATCAATTGAAAAGAATTTAATTTTCTTTGTATGAAATTGCTTATTGTTATAACAAACCACTATGATGCCAAGTAAACATTGCGAATTGGCATGGCATTTACTAATTTAGAAGATGTTCGTTCAGCTTTAGAGAGCTACTCTGTTGAAACTTCACCTTATGAATAATTGTGCGAAAATTATCCTTTTATCTAATTATATAACTCTAAATGTCGTTTTTTAATTATTTTTAATTGCCCGTATTTGTAATTATTTTCATTTTCCGGGCCCTTATTTGTAGATTCCCCTAATAACTAACATGAAGTTTAAAGTCAGATTAGAGTAAAAATAGATTTGGATTCAAAAACTCGATAATCGAGTTTTTGTTTGATTTTGCCGAGCACTAGTAGATAGTGATATTAACAAGAAATCATATTAAATTTTGATATATAAAAATTCTAACATTAAAATAACTTCATAGGATTGTTTTTGGGTTCGATTTACTATTACAGTATATGAAAAGATTTGACTTATTTATAACCTTTAATAATTATGTATTTTATTTGCTGATTTAAAGATTCCTACACTGTATTAAACCCCCCCTTTAAATATTGTATCACTTCTCATTGAGCTAAATCCATTTTTAGTACATTGCCTACGCACTATGTCTCTAAATAATATAAAGTAAAGAAATTATATGATTCGATGAAAGTTTATGCATGAATTATTGTTACAAGAAATCGATCTGTTGATTTTGAAAAAATCGACCAAGCCGAAAATTAGCTTTAGTCAAATTTTTTTCATTGTCGGCCAGCAGAGATGTCACGTTACAGTGTCCAATTGGTTTTAATTTTTTTTGGACATATATCCAATTGAAATTGGACATATGTCCAAAAAAAATTGAAACCAATTGGACATTGTAACGTGACATCTCTGTCGGCCAGGGTTGATGGAATGGTATATGAAAGAGACAAACCAATGAATAGTTAAAAATTATTGAGGTTTATCTTCCTCTTCTTCTTCTTCCTCCTCCTCCTCTTGTACGTCCTCTGCATCATTGATCCCACCACTCGCTTTTAATTGCAAGGTAAGGTGATTATTAATATCTTTTTGAAGTGATAATATTGCGTCAGTTAGAGATTTAATTGCTTCTTTGTTTTCGTTAGAGTTGAACGACGGAACCGCACAACTGAATTCTTTGGGCGATCCCTCCTGAGTTGGAGATACATAAACTGCTCGAACGTTCGTCATGATTGTGTATGATTTTCAAAAGAAATCGTTGATTGCGATAATCTTATCTGGCATTTCGTTATCATTACTGCATTATCGTGACAATCAATTAATTGTGTTATCAGTCATCAAAAAAGTTAATATTTCCAGATTTGGATTGAATCTAAATTACGGGTATAAAAAGACTTTCATATAAAGACTTTCATATAAAAAGACTTTCATATCAGTATTATTTCTTTCATCAAAGACCGCAATGTCAGTAATTCTCAAAGATCTCAATGATTACATTGCCCCCTCACAAGCTTGTATAAAACCTGTTGAAGTAAAAAAAACCTCGACAGATAACAATGTAAGTTGATTAACCTTGAAATTTGACACACCATTTGGTTGCTTTTACATTCGTTCACTCATGACATATTCTTACAGAATGTGATTAAAATCGATAATTCTGGTGAATATTATGAAGTTTCACAGGAAGGTATTGAGACAAGACTACAGCCTGCAAGTATAACTTTAGAGGATTGTTTGGCTTGCAGGTACAGTTTTCTCTTGTTCTCATAATTTTGATAATTTATATTGTATCATCCATTAATATTTTCTTTACAGCGGATGCATTACATCGGCTGAAAGTGTTTTAATAACAATGCAATCTCAAGAAGAATTATACAATATTTTGAAAAACAATAAACAAGCAATAATAGATGGGAAATCAGAGAAAATTATTGTTGTCTCTATTGCACCTCAATCTCGAGCCTCAATTGCAACGAAATATGGTTTAGCTCCATTAAAGGTGCTTTTTATTTTTTAAAAAAAAATTTTTTTTTCTTTTATAATCCATTTAATTAAACTCCGCTAACAAAAATGATTTTAATAAGGTAGCAAACCGTCTAGCTTATTTTTTCAAGTCACTTGGTGTACACTATGTATTCGATACGTCATTTTCACAAGATTTTTCACTACTTGAAAGCGCTCGTGAGTTTATTGAGAGATACCAAAAATTTCAAGAATTTCAAAAAAATCAAGGAACATCCTCAGAGAATGGATTAATGAAAAATAACAGAGTAAAACGTGAAAGTATATCTTCAGAGGATACAACGCAACATAAAAGATCGTGTGATTTGCCAATGTTAGCTTCATCTTGCCCAGGATGGATATGTTATGCTGAAAAAACTCATGGTTTTGTATTACCATATGTCAGTAAAGCTAAATCACCCCAACAAATTATGGGTTCAATAGTTAAAGATTATTTTGCAAGCAAACTAGGTGTCGAGTGAGTACATTATCTTTGTATTAAACCATTTTCATGCATAATTCTTAAATTATATTTTCCCTTTAATCATCCGCAGACCAAATAATATATATCATGTTGGAGTTATGATGTGCTATGATAAGAAATTGGAGGCATCTAGACTCGATTTTTTTAGTGAAGAATATCAAACTCGGGATGTCGACTGCGTTTTAACGACCGGTGAAATAGTTAAAATGTTTGAAGAACAAAATTTTAATATTAATGAGAGTCCTGAAATGCCATTAGACTCGTTTGTTAAAACGAGCCAAGAAGGGCAACTTTTACGGTCGTCCGGTTCGGCATCGGGCGGCTTTCTTGAATTTATACTTGAATATTCCGCACGTGAACTATTTGGAATAACAGGAATTAACGTCGAAAAGGAACAGGGTGTTGTTGTTAAGACTGGTAGGAATAAGGACTTCAAAGAAATCTCTCTTGAGGTAAAAAATTATTACATATATCATAAATTAGAAATATCAATTACATATCCGAATAATACTTTTTATTTGTTTAGGTTGATGGCAAACCATTGTTAAAATTTGCTTCAGCATATGGATTTCGAAATATACAAAATCTTATTCGAAAAATTAAAAGTGGAAATAGTTCTTATCATTATATTGAAGTTATGGCTTGTCCATCTGGTTGTATAAACGGTGGTGGTCAGTTGAAACCAAATGAATCATTGTCAATCAAAGATTGGATCAATGAAGTAAATAATACATACAGATCAATTGATTCCCTGTCTCCTGAAAAAAATGAGACTGTGTTAAATTTATACAGGTAAATATTCTTTACGTTAATATAATTTTGTTAATAATTATTTATTTATTTATTTTTTCGGATTATTACATAATTTATAGTGAATGGCTTGGAGGAAAAGATAGTCCAAAATGTAAAACAATGCTTCGCACACAATATCATGCAGTAGATCAAACTTTAGCTAATCCATTGGCTACTAAATGGTGAATTTGTATATATTAGTAATATTATCACTTCTGATACATTATATATTAATATAATAAATTAAAAAATTTTATAATTGATATTAATTCAATTTAAAACTAAGGTTTTGAGAATATATATATTATAATTTTAAATAAAAAAGATAATATATTATATTTTTTGGCCAATTCTATTTTGACCTGGGTCAAAGTGACCCATCACATGACCATATGCCTAAGAATTTTCAAAACTTTGAGCGATAACCATCTAATCAAATTCGATAAACCATTTTTTATTTATTAATAACTAAAGAATTAAATAATTTTTCAATCGACTAGCAATTAATTCTTTAATCGATTAGTTGATTGATTATTAATCGATTAGTTGAATATCTAAAAAATTCAATCGATTAGTTGTCAACTAACTAATTGATTTTTTCAACTTTCGATTTGTAACACTACATATATGTTCCGGACCTCATTTTCCCTAATATCGTATTGGGGTCCTGCATATACGTACTAATTAATCAAATCTATGTCAGGACAAAATTTATGCATAGATCGGCAAAATCGATAGATTACTATATACTTTTTCTGACAATTTTTGCGGCAACTTATTAAGATGTAAAAAGAAGTTACAGTTTAAATTTTTATTCACAAAAGTTAATTTGTAATAAAGATCACCACCCCTAGATATTTTTAGGGTTAGGGTTAGGGTATTAAGAATTATTATTTTTTTATATAATATATAATATAGAGCTAATATAAGGTCCCGAATTCAGTTCTCGGGAGGTTTTCGGGGTCTTACTTAGAGTACCCGATCCAGTTTACTTAGTACGTTTTCGACCCTGGTGATGATCACCACTGGTTATAGTTAGATTTACTCCTGTAACACGAAAATTGTCAGAAAAAATTATTAGTACGTACGCGAGGTGAATCATTTTTTAAATAATACGACACGTTTTAGATGGATATATTAGGGTATATGGTTGGGGCTAGTATTGTTTTTTAATCGATAGAACGTGACAAAATGTAAATTAGGTAGTTTAAAACGTTTCTTTTACAGCGAAATAATGAAATGTTTTTAGGCAAAAAAAAGATATATAAGTGTAACTTTGTTGGTTTTCTAACAAAAGGTTTACCTCTCTCTAAGTTACTACAGATTCAAAAAATGGGTTAAAGTTTTCTCTCTCTAAAGTCACTACGGATATAAAAAATGTTTACGCAAATCTCGTCATTCGTTTCGTTGTCTATGTGGATGAAGAGGAAGAAGATTCTGAAGAGAAAGAGAAGAGTCTCGTGCTCCTTTTTTAATTCCAAATAATCCAGAATATTCTTATTATGGAGAAAGAATCTTACAAGTCGCCCGAAGAATTGAAAGCAATCACCCAAGCCCCCAAATAATAAAAAAACGAAAAACACTGGGAAAAAAGAGGAGTCGACGTACGCAAAGGGAAAAATACTTGAAGATTTAGATAAATAACAAGCCGATTTTGGCATTTTTACCTCCTGTCAACTTTCAGATATGAATATTCTCGCACAGGGTGAGTTTTCTCATTGAGTATAATGTTAAATCGTTTGTGTATCCTAGTTACGCTGCCACTATCGGTGTAAAATGTTTGGGTGAAAGCTCTTCGTGGCCAGCTGTTTCGGCAGTTGAACGTTCACCCTGTTATCGGTGATCCGGAAATGGTCGGCACCCTGCTGGATTTTATGGTGAATAGGATACATAAACTCGGAATTGAAAGCTCTTTGTGGCCGCATATTCATATGCAAACGTTTTTCTGAGTTGTAAATGAAGCATTTTAATCATAATTATTATTATTTAGGGAGCAGAAATCATTCAATTTTGAACTCCCAGATGAACCAAAACCATTCCTCAGCTATACAAAACCTTACCCGAGGAATTTTATGGGGATAAAGGAATTGATATACACGGTCGCATCCCTTTTTGCATACAGTGCAAAAACTAGTCCACACAGCAAATAGATAAATATTCTTTTGAACGAGCGCCGCCAAGAGAAAACTAACGCACCTAGTATCGCCACCAAAATCAGGTACGTGATCGCTTTTTAAATTTCAATCGGAGTACAATATCAGAATTATGAGAATTTTAAAAAATAACAAGTTTTTTACTTATTTATTATTTATTTATTGATACTACTTATCAGAATTTAAGAATTTACTTAATTATCACTACGACGGAAATTAGTGGAAGGATTTTTTTTCGAAGAATATTTTTGGAAGGATTTTTTAAAAGAAGGCATTGAATATTTAAAATGCATTTATATCCAAATTCAAATTTTTTTTTAATACATGTATAAAGCCTTAATTTTTGTTATGTCCACTCCAAGTTTCTTTGCTCATTCGAAATCCCTAATGTTATCAACCATTTTTTGAATAGGTTTATAGTTTGATTTCAATGCTTCGAAGCCCTTTTTTTTGCTTGGGAAGATTGTTAGATTTTTCAAGACAATCAAGCGCCTAAAACATAAGATTAATATGTAAATGCAAAAATATGATAATAAAATATTGTTTTTATACCTCATGAAGAGTTTTTCTATATTTTCTCTTAAAATTTCAGATTCGGATTCACTATCTTTAATACTCGATTTCTTATCAATCATTAAATTGACTTGTGTTTGGTTAATTAAGGTTGATGATCTCGTAAAATGTCCTTAGCTTCCGTAATAAAGAAAATTGAGAATTTCTAATTATAAATAATGCTAGATTTGGAAAATTTTTTAAAAATATATAATAATAAACCTTTCGGAAAAATGATACATCATTAA